GATGAAGGATGTTTCTTCTTTCTTTATTATAGTAAAACCATTTCTCCTGTTGCTGCCTGTCTTGCATGTTACCTCTTGTTAATGAGCTTGAACCCTTGAAGCTCTGAGCTTTTAGAATCGTTTCCTTTTTTAAACCCTGATTTAAGAGGCAGATGCGTTTTCAGTTGTCTCCTTTCTGCCTGCATGATGGCTAAATTTTAAAATGAATACAATCTTTCAAAAACCACACCAGCTCTACTAGCTTTGAGTCTCTTTCTGATGGGATCAGAACTCCTCCACTTGCTTTCAAAGTGGCTATTCGCAGTTGTCGTAACCAAAGTCCATGGATTGTTTCATTTGCCTTTGATTAATTCCTTAGTGCCCTTGTGTCCTATGTTTAGATCAGTGTTTCTCAAATTGTGCTCCGCGAGACATCTCCAAGGGCTCTGCGAGGTTGACAAACTGGAAACATCGGTAGGTACAACACATACAATCAGTGGACCGCTGGGGCTCCGCATACATTTTTACGCATGTAAACGGCTCTGGAGCCCAAAAAGTTTGAGAACCGCTGGTTTCGATTATTTTAGAGTGGCATCCACTTTTAAGTATTTATAAAGAGCCCAGTTCTGGATTCCAAGTACTGTGGGTTTTTTTACATTTTCTTTTGCCCCTTGACTGCAGCAGCTCTCACGTGTGTATCTCCCTTGTGGCTGTTCTAAAGGATAACCGCCTTCTTTTGTTACTAGCTAAGGAGGTACGGCTTCAGCTCAAGTTATAGAGGCCTGCATGCTGGCATTGTAGGACCAGGGTCTAAACCAGCGATGGGCAACCTAGGCTAGTGAGTGGGCTACAAGAGTGCTCCTCCATCTCACTGGGCCGCAAGATTGCTGTAACACATTGTCTGCTGAGAGAGAGTACTTTTGCTAACTGTGCTTGTAACCCACACGCCTGCGGCTACGTCTAGACTGGCATGATTTTCCGCAAATGCTTTTAACGGAAAACTTTTCCGTTAAAAGCATTTGCGGAAAATCATGCCAGTCTAGACGTAGCCGCAGGCGTGTGGGTTACAAGCACAGTTAGCAAAAGTACTCTCTCTCAGCAGACAGATCGGGGCTTTTTTGCACAAAACAAATCTGAGCTGTCTACACTGGCCCTTTTGCACAAAAGCTTTGCGCAAAAGGACTTTTGCCCAAACAGAAGCAGCATAGTATTTCCGCAAGAAGCACTGATTTCAGACAGTAGGAAGTCAGTGTTCTTGTGGAAATTCAAGCGGCCAGTGTAGACGGCTGGCAAGTTTTTCCGCAAAAGCAGCTGCTTTTGCAGAAAAACTTGCCAATCTAGACGCAGCCCTACAGGTCTAGTGTATTCGCTTGGGTACCTAGAATTTGTGAGGTGTTTCATTTGAAGTGTAGCTGTGCTTTGATTGGCTGCACAGGGAGTGTACGGCTCTCTCAGCTACCTCCCTTCCGGTGCCCTTGCTTTGCATGTGTATCACTTTAGTAATACCGATAGGGAAAAAGCTACGCAAATGGAAACCAGCAGAATCTGGCAACTCTGCATGTGGGCAACGGTAAACAAAATGTTTTGCTGGCTGCACACAGAACTCCGATGGGTTGCAGGTGGCTTCTGTGCCTCAGGTTGCTCACCTCTTGTCTAGACCCTGCTGCCCACCTGTGGAGAGGGGCTTGTAACATCATTACTGCTCATTTCTCTCTAAAGCCATGCAAGAAAGCCAGTGACCTCTTTTTAACCATGCTAGTGAGTGTGCTGCTGCCTGCTGCCCAGCAGCTGTTTGTACACAGTCTCTAGCTGGTCAATTCCCAACACTGTCCCCATTTGATTGTTCCCCCCACCCCCACGGATTTTTGTATTGCTGTTATAAATGTTCCAACTTTCATTGTAATAAAGCGACTTGAGCACAGAGTGGGGGATCCAACGGCTGCGAAGTCTGTCTGGGGAAATGGTTTTATGAAGTTGTAAATTATTTGTGGTTGCTTATAATCTAATTTCCTAGAGAAATAGTAGTGCTAAGAAAAGGGCAATTTGTATCTACCCCCTCCAGAAGTGTTTTTAAGGTCTTGATTTAGTTATAGTTTCTCCTAAAAAACGACTTGCAGGAATTGTAGCTCATGGGGACTTCCATCTGATACAGCAAAAAAGAATGGAGGCAATAACGAACGTTTTGCTAATTTCAGGCAACGTGCAGCTGCACCAAAGGAAGAGGGAGAATGCCTCTGCCAACAAATTAATGAAGTCTGTAATAAATTCCCTGTACTTACAGGTCAAATCTCAGTAGAGTCCATTCAACCCTTCACCCCTTCCCAGCTTGACTGAATCAAGTTCCAGCTCTTTCATATGTGGGATGTTTCATGTGGAATGTGCTTTCAAAGCAAACAAGGCCCCTGGATTTAATGATCCCATTATACTGCTTTCATTGAAGAAGAGAATGTGTCCTCTCGCTCTTCACATTTTCCTTTTCTTCTACAAAGCAATGGTCCTTTGTCATCTTCCTCTGCAGGTGACCACATTTCAGTGGTTCTAGTTTTCTGAAATTCAGGATTGAAAGATGCTTTAAATGTGTTATTTTCAGACCTGGAATACTCCCAGGCTACGTCACGACTGGCATGATTTTCTGGAAATGCTTTTAACGGAAAAGTTTTCCATTAAAAGCATTTTCGGAAAAGCGCATCTAGATTGGCATGGACGCTTTTCCGCAAAAGCTCTTTTCGGGGAAAAGTGTCCGTGCCAATCTAGATGCTCTTTTGCACAAAAAAGCCCCGATCGCCATTTTCGCGATCGGGGCTTTTTTGCGGAAAACAATTCTCAGCTGTCTACACTGGCCCTTTTGCGCAAAAGAGTCTTTTTCCCGAACGGGAGCAGCATAGTATTTCCGCAAGAAGCACTGATTTCTTACAGTAGAAAGTCAGTGCTTTTGCGGAAATTCAAGCGGCCAGTGTAGACAGCTGGCAAGTTTTTCCGGAAAAGCGGCTGATTTTCTGGAAAAACTGGCCAGTCTAGACACAGCCCCTGTGCTGGGTACAGGCTATGGCTGAGATTGGGAATGAGGAGCAATTCCTACATGGAGAGTATTGAAACTGGAGATATGTTGATATGGGAAAGGGCAGTAGTATAATACTTGGGGTAAGGATAACCGAAATGGAAATGGCCGGGGGAGGACTAGTGGAAAAACGTCTGTGCTACCTCTCGGGATGAAGCCATAATACGGCAGTTGCCCAGGGAGGGAGAGATCTAAAGCTTTCAGCTGGCTGCTTAATTGGCAAGTTATATCATGTATTGCTTCAGAATCCTCCATTCCCTTCCTCATGAATGGCTTAAAATACAACCTCCCGTTGTAACATGTCATGAGTTTTCAGTCCCTTTCCGTATTTGAACTGACACCTGTGAGTTTATATTAGAGTCCAAGGTTGTGCTTGTTTAAGGATAATATGCAAAACAGAGATTGGCCCTTTGCAAGAATGCGTAGCTGATTCCTTTTTCAAGAGAGGAATGCAAATTCATCCAACCAAAATTGCACATGAAGTGCAGATTTGAATTTCCCACACTTCATTTCCATAATCGCGTCCGGCCGCTTTTTCAAAATACCCTATTTCGAAAAAAGAAATGCTGTCTAGGGTATTTCGAAAAAGCGGCTGGACGTGATTATGCAAATGAAGCATGGGAAATTCAAATCTGCGCTTCATTTGCAATTTCGCTCGGCTGCATTTGCATTCCTCTCTCAAAAGAGGAATGCAGTGCAGACAGGTCACTGAGGATATATGCGTAGTGGGTCTAAACCAGTGGTGCACAAGCCGTAGCTGTTTTCCTGGGGCTCGCAACGCTTTGATCTGGGCTGGCAGGTATTTTCTTTTCCCTGCTCAGCGCCCACTGTACACATGGCGGAGGTGGGAGGAGTGTTAGGGGAGCTGACTGGCCCTTTAAATTAAAGGGGCTGTAACAAAATGTATTTTTTTTTCTTTCTCAACTTAAATTTTCCTGGCTCTGGGAGTCATGAATGAAAAAAGGTTGAGCATCGGTGGTCTAAACAGCTGGTTCTCTTTCTGGGGGTCGTGAATGAAAAAAGGTTGAGTATCGGTGGTCTAAACAGCTGGTTCTCTCTGGAAAAACATCCCAATTTGGTTGCCCGAGCTGTAGCTTTTTCTACCGCAGCGTTGCCTTGAGAAGGTATCTCAAGCAGAGACCAACAGTCTCTGAAGATGCCAAATGAAAACCCGTCTCTGCTTGTAGCTGTTAGCCAAATCCTTGACTACAGCCAAGCTGATCTTGGTTCAGCAACACAATTAAAAATACTTGCGACCTCAAAGACAAACCAGCACTCCCCCTCCCCCCCAACAAAGGATACCTTGATATTTGAGTCAGAAAACACAAGAGGACATCATGAATCAAAAAAATAAGTCTTTACCTGTAATTAACTGTGCGCGCAAAGGAAAACATGGGGGCCAAGCAGCAATTATTAGTTGCTTTACTGTAGGATTATACACCAGAATCAAATGCTCATGGTAAAATGTCCCTTTAGGTCACGGTCCTTTTATAACATTTAATTCAAACAAAAATAATTCTCTACCAAAAAAGTATTTGAACCGTACACTATACAGAAATGCCTGGTTAAGACATTGTACTCCTTTGATATACCATGTGCACAACGGCCTTTTTGTTCTGGTCAAGTGCAAGAGAAGGAAATAAAAACCCAACAACAAAAATACAAAACTTATAAATTCAGCAACTAGATTTGTAGGCAACAGTATCTAGGGGCCTGGCCGGGTCAACAACGTAACATGGGACTGCAGCAAAGATGGACCAGAGAATCCCTCAGGGATGCCTCAGCTTTCAGTCTCTAGTGGCCCTGGAGCCATTAGGACCGGCTCTTTGAAAACAAAACTATCAGAAAGTTAAAAAAAAAAAAACAACCCTTG